GATGAGGTCTCGCCAAGTTGCCCAGGTGGGTCTTGAACCCGCGGGCTCAGGCAATCCACTCACCTCAGCCTCCCAAAGGTGCGGGATTACAGGCTGAGCCACCGAGCCTGGCTTTTTTTTTTTTTTGAGTTGGAATCTCACTCCTTGTCTCCCAGGCTGGAGTGCAGTGACATGCTAACGGCCACCTCAGCCTCAACCTGCTGGGCTCAGGCGATCCTTCCACCTTAGCCTTCCAAGTAGCTGGAACTACAGATGCATACCACCACACCCAGCTAGTTTTTGTGATTTATTGTAGAGACAAGGTCTCACCAAGTTGCCCAGGCTGATCTCAAACCCCCAGCCTCAGGAATCCCTCTCGCATTGGCCTCCCAGAGTGCTGGGATTACAGGCTGAGCTACCGTACCCCACTGGGGCTAAGATTCTTAAACATCATAGAAGTGAAGATGAGCCTTGGAGCCTTTCTTCTGGCACAGCTCCCTACTGATCTCTGGCACATTCCAGCCCTGGAGCAGGAAAGGAGTAGACAGATACGGGAACCTATGTCTTTTCTCTTAAATGCTTGCTCTATGGTCCAGAAAAGAGTCAAAAGAATCCATGGAGAAGGCAGAGTTAATGTGTTGGGGAATATAGAGGACTAAGTCCAGAATGACAATTGGGTACTCTCTGAGCTGCTTCCATTCTAAAATCATCTGCTTTTCCTTTTTCCCAGGATTCAAGGCATGGTGGAACTCTCAGTGACCTGGGAAAGCAAGGTGAGGTACTAGGAAACCGGGTTGCTAAAGCCTCTTTTTGGGATGGGTCGTGGCACTCCTTCCCACCCCGTTGCTATGGGTTTAAGACTGAGCTATTCAGCCTTGCTGTTTGAGGGGAACCCTGTTGATTGGGGAAGTAGCCATGAGATAAACGGGCCTTCTGGAGAATGCTGATCTAAAGGTTTCTTCTCTGGGCTCCTCTCCAAAGTGAGATCAGTGAAGGCTCTGGTCATCACCATCTTCAACTTCATTGTCACGGTGGCAGCTGCCTTTGTCTGCACTTTCCTTGGAAGCCAGTATGTCTTCACAGAAATGGCCTCAGTAAGTAGGCACTGGGAATGGCAAGGTGCCAGAGTACGTGTGTTAGTGGGTAAGGGAGGATGTGTGTGAAAGTGCCTTACACAGTTAGGTATTGAGCAGATATTAATGTGGTAAACAAGGGGAACATTGGAGCTTTCCAGCAGTCATGAGGATAGGAAATAACCCCAAGAGAAGCCAGATCCTCTTTTCTTCCCCTCCCTCAACTTAGAGGCTGGGTTAGAGGCTCTCCATCCTCATTAAAGGTGCTGGGGGCTGCAGAGCTGGTATTGGCCTGCATCTCCTAAGTCTGGTTCTCCTCCTTCTCAGCGGGTGCTGGCTGCATTGATCGTCGCCTCGGTGGTGGGTATGGCTGAGCTGTATGTCATGGTGCGGGCAATGGAAGGCGAACTGGGAGAGCTGTAACTGGGCTTCATCATCAAAGTCCAGAGAAGGTTTAGGGGGCTCCAGGCTTCCAGCTGCCAGTCACTGACTCAATTAACCCATCAGGCAATTTGTACTCAACTCCAGTTAGTCAAAGGACCAGGCCAGGCCGCCTGCTGTTCCTGTGGGGAACCCCATCTTCTATGAATTTCTAGAGGAAGCAGTGGAGGAGATTCAGACAGCCACACATCTTTAAAACTGAAAGAACTGGTCTGTCAGCACCTTCTCCTAAATCTGGTGCCTATTTACCTTCTTCAGTCCATTCTGGACACTGCTGGAGCTAGAGTTTTCCCGTCAGGAGTGAATGGAATCCAGGCCTTCCCAGAAGTAGACCATACTGCCTTGAACTTGTCCAAGTGCACATATTGATCGCTATCCTTTTCTACACATTTTTGATGCACACCCATAATTGAGTTCAGAAGTCTCCAAGAAAGCAAAAAGAATCCTCTTTCTCCAGTTTTGTTGGAAGAAGAACTGATCAGAGGACAAACATCAAATAAGAGAAAGATAGGATGGTGAAACTGAAAGCAAGGAAGCTACCTTTTTGGAAAAGGAAATGGTATTAGGCCCCATTTCCAGAAGACAAAACAGACTCTGATAGAGATTAAATGACCAGCTATGACCCTTACTCTGTTCAGTGGGGCCAAAGTCTCCTATGTTGTCCTGAAGTCTCTGTAATGTTTTACCTTTTGAGAAATTAGGAGTATGATGATAGAATCTGTGTAATGCACTTAAAAGGGTATCAGCCTTAGTTATTTATCCAGTAAATATTTATTGTATCCAATGTGTTCTTATTTCAAGTACTATAACAACATAAATCACAAAGATTTTAATAGTTCTAATTGTTTAGGGTCTGCTCCTAATGGTAGACTCTTTTTGTTCACTGTATGTACTCCTGTAGTCTTTTTCCAAAGCACTTTTCTGTTTTTATAAATTATATACCCATTAGCTCAGTAGACATTTCCTCTATAATGTTTGCCAGTTTCTGTTAGTTGGGGGAAGTGCTATCTGTGAGAAGAAGAAATAGGTGACATTTTATAACCTGATAACCTGAACTATTTAAGATTGTGCTAAAAAACCACAGTGAAGCTTTGTGGGAATTTATGACTGTTTACCTGTGTCTGCATTCTAGGTCGGGATACCCACATATCCTTAAGCTTAGATCTCCCAGGTGCCTGGATTTAGATGGGAAGTTTTCCAAATATTAGATAAAAAACAGGCCTTCTCAAGCAGATTGTAACCCTAGGGCATCCATCTCACTGAAATTAAGGTCATTTCATCCTACTCAGCATTCATTAGGATGGGATCCGCACCAGATCCCAACCCGCTACTCACAAGCCTACAGGATTCTGTGGCATTGAGCACTTACCGAAAGCTAACTTATTTGGCCAAGCATTGTGCAATCTTCTGGGTAAAAAAAATCTAATTCCTGCCTAGTGAGTAATGAGAAGGAAACTGCCATTGTGCAAGGTGGGTTCTGTCTGCAAGGGCAGAGTTAGAAACAGAAATCAAATGGCCTGTCCTAAAGTTCTCAGCTTGGAGAAGGCAGCTCTCTTCTCTCAGCCACTTCTTCTGCCTCACCATACCATACTTTCTCCAATTCTACTGGGTCCAGGGAGTGCTTGGCAGTTCAGAGAAACAAGAAGTTTGGGGCCTTCCCAATTTCTCACAGCCTCCTGTATGGAGAGGGAGAAGGAACTAGCATTTGCTGAATTTTTACAGTGTCACACACCATGTGAAGCCATTGACCTATATTATGTATTATTTTTTACACCCTAAAAAAAGGAAACAATTATCATCTTCATTTTTCAGTCACATAGAGTTTCAGAGAGTTGCCACAGTTGCATAGCAACTGTGAGTTCAGTGAAGATTGATTGCAAACTCCTTGCTTTTCTCTCCAAAGCAGAACAGCTCCAAAAAGTGGATGTAATATCCTGAAATCAGTGGGACTAGGTGCAGGGGGTGCCAGCGGAGGCTGTCATCTCCCCAGACTGTCAGAGCCCTGAGTTCTTCAATTAACTTTCCCTCTAATCCCAGCAGAACCCTGGGTAATATCTCCCACCCAGAATCTGTGTGTGGAACCTGGCCCTATTTAGGGATTAGGTGATGGAGATAAATTTTCAAGGCAAACAGCCTTTGTCCTCATTCATTTGCAGTGCACAACAATCCAGATTAAGGTACAGAGTTGGGGCTTTATTTGGAGATTAGTTGGTATTACAGATGATGGTGATACCAAAACCCCATGCTGCTGTGCCCCTCCTCCACCCCAAATCTGTCAGGTTGTCTCCACAGCCCCACGTCAGAGGGCAGCCAATCTGGTCTTTGTGAAAATTAAATCAACATAAGCCCTGGGCTCCTCTTTTTACTTTATTGCTTTAATATCACTCCCTCTCAGATCCATAGTTCTGATTAATTTGAACAGGTGGTAGGGGATCAGGAGAAGGGGCACTGAACCATGAAAGGGTGGGTCTCCAGCAGCCTAGGAGCAGCACTCTCCTCTCCTAGCTCATTTAGCAGTTAGGTAATGGCTGGAGGGCCCTCAGGAGACAGGCGGCTGCCCTTTCTTCACAGGGTGGAGGTCATCGGCTGGGGTGAAAAGAACTGGAGTCCAGTCCTGGCAGGAGAGTTGGGAAACATGGCCCCTACCTCATCCTTCTGAAGGTACCTCCTGCCAAGACAATGGGCATATGCCCCAGGAGGGGCCAGGGTGCTGGGTAGCATGAGCCAGGCTCCAATCTGCATAGAGCTGGCATCTAGGCTGGCCTGGAGGCCATTGGGAGGGAAGGATGCCCAGACTAAACTCCCTTCCCATGAGAGAACTACCTTGTGTAAAAGAAGAGGTCAGGGGATCCACTTCTGATGTGTTCAGTCCTAGAAGGGACTAAAGGAGTGGGCTACAGGAGGACTCTTACAAGTTCTAGATTAGGTGTGGTCCACATTGGTGACAATGGCCGAGGCATAAATGAGGTCAGACAGGCTGCCCAGTGAGGTCTGGGGAGTAACTCGCTCCAAAGAAGGGTGGACCCCTGAAACCCCAGCCGGTCCCCATGAGGCAGTGGCTTTAGCCCCTGCCCTGCTCTGCCCTGGATCCAAGCTAGGAGCTGGACAGGAGGCATGTTGACATGTTGAGGTACACTGTGCCGTGCCAGTGGAGGATGGAGGCTGATCCGGCTTCCAGGGCTCCCAGGGCTGCTGGAGGGTGTCTGGAAGAGAACAGGAGCTCTGGGGGGTCTCAGGTCTGGGACTCAGACCACCTAACTTCCTGTTCTTGATTCTCTTGGCCCGGCGGTTCTGGAACCACACCTGCTAGGGAAGAAGAAGAGGTCTACTCTGGCTCCAGCATTCCCTCCACTCAGGGACAGGGAAAACAGACCCTGAAGGCAGGCTACCCAGAGAGGAAGGGTTAGGGTTAGGGTTAAGTTGAAGCCCAGAAGTTGGCTGTGTGAGAGTACTCCGAGCCAGAGAGGGGGTCCACAGCTCACCTGTATCTTGGCCTCAGGAAGGCGGGTAACCCGGGCCAAGTGCTCACGGGTGCCGATGTCAGGGTAGGGCCGAGCTGCAAACACCCGTTCCAGCTCCAGTAGCTGCCCTCTGCTGAAGGTGGTCCGCTTTCTCCGGTGGGGACCCAACCTACTGGCACGGTCTGTGGGCCAGGGTGGGGATCAAGCTTGGACTTCCTGCAAGAATCTCCACCCAGCCTCAAAGGCCTCAACAGACCCTGAAGCCCCTGCTCCCAGCCCTCTTTACCCTGCCCCATCCCACCCTGCCCCACATCCTCACCCTGCCCACCCTTTCCACATCAGATCACCTGCTGGGGATGCCTCCACAGGGCTGGCCATGGAGCTGGCAGATGGCGAGGAGCCAGAGGGCCATGTCAGGACTGTGACCACACCAGACCTCTCCATTTGGGGTTTTATCCTGCTCAGGGTGGCTGGCCCCGCCTCCAGGAGGGGAGAGGTTTAGAGTTCAGCTTGAACAAGGTAGAGAAGTCCCAGAGGAAAAAGCGGTGGCCAAGGGCAGGGTTGGGTGGGCAAGGTGTAGCCCCTGCCCCTCCAGGGCTTCACAAAGAAAGCTATTTGCTGCCTCCCTCCTCAAACTTCTAACTCCGGAAGTCTTTACCTGTAATCCTATATTTCATGAAAAGCCTCCCAGAGTTCCCTTCAGAAAGCGAAAGAGAAGTATCATCCAGTGCTCCCAGGGTATCGCTGCTCCTTCTGGAGCCCTCGGTGTCCTGCTCCTGGCTGCCTTCAAGGGAGAGTGGGTGGAGTCCTACCCCACAACTGAGGACTGGGCTAGTGAGACTGAACAGGATGAGAAGAATGGTTGGGTGAGAGCAGGATGAGCGGGAGTACCTGCTCTCAGCAGGGCTGGGAAACAGATGTCACCACCGGATCACCCTTTTCTCTGTGTTAGAGCTCTGCCAGCATCTAACCCATAATCTGGCCCCTTGAGAGCCCAGATGGGCTTCCTGGACTCTAGGAACCTGGAACCAGAGGAGGTTCCAAAAGTATAGTGTGATCTTCCTTGAAAGTCTTCTGGGCCACTTTTCTAACAGAAGGTTAGAAAAGGTTTTTAACTTTGTATTTACTTCCTCCCTCTTCTATCCCTTCTGACCTCACTGCCCACGCCCACCCCCCATGCCCAACCCTAGACAGATTTCAAAGAAAGGCTCACCCTCTCAGTAGGTTTGAAGAAGCACAGTGACTGAGTTCCCTGGGTGCTCGAGAGCCTGAGCTAATTGGATTTCAGACTCGGGGTAAGCAAAAAGTCTGAGTTAGAACCTCACCACCTTATGCCTCTTCTCTTTCCTCCAAGATCCTAGTCACCTCCAAGAGGCAGGGAGGGGTGGCTTGGAACTCACATCTTCAGAGGGGTTCAAGTGCCTGCTTAGCTGCTAGTGGGTTGCTGGGGGTAACATAGCTCCAGAGGAAGGGTAGTTATCAGAAGGCCCTCCCCAGCCTGAGTCCAATGTGGGCTGCACACAGTGAGGCTCTTCTCTGTCCGCCCCCACTGACCCATTTTGATAGCCCAGCTTCCCCTCCTTTACTCAGGCAGGCATCTATCCATTCCAGTCAGGACAGTAGTCTTAAATTCAGGGCGAAGGGATTTTTATTGGGCTGGGAGGAGGAGGTTGCGGGAAGGAGCTGCAGCAGGCCCAGCTGTGTGAACTCTGACTCCTACAGGTGACCAGGAGCTGGGCAGCCCAGCCAGTACTGCGCGATAGGGCGTGGGTATGGAGGGTCCACAGTGTCCACCCTCCGTGTGCGGAGGTTAACTCGGTAGTACTTGTCTGGAAGAGAGGACAAGACAGAATGCAGAATGTGTGAGACCCAGCCTGGCCCTGCCCACTCTTGCCTTGAGAAAAAAAAAAAAAAAAAAAGATCAGGATCTCCCCAGGAAGGGAAAGTGAACAACCACAATGCAGCTAAGGTCTCTTGGCCTGTTTTTCTGCCTGCAGGCTGTGTTCAGCTCATAGGGACCAGGGACAGCAGGGAAGGTCCAGGCTAGGCCAGCTTCACAGGTGGCAGTGGCTCCTACCTCCCGAGAAGAAGAAGACGCTCTGGATGGGCTCACAGGTGGCAGGCACAAGCCAGTCCATCCCATAGTCATCATAGTTGTAGGTTCCTAGCCCGCTCTCCTCACTGGAGAACCAGGACAGCCAGGGAGAACGGGATAGCCGGCGGGAGTTCTGGCTGCGGCCACGGCCACGGCCACTGCGTGAACGGTAGCCTTTGCGGCTGCGACGCCTGGACTTTTGTTTCTTGGCCAAGGAGGAGCGGGGTGCTGAGCCTGAGATGTAGATGCGGCCAGCCATGGCTGCATCCACTTGCCCCGGCACACCATGCCAGTCTCGGCTGATGAATTGGGGCTGACTGGTACCACCTATGGCAAGGAAAGAGTTAGGGGGGGGCCTCAGAGGCTCAGGCCCTGCCCCCTCCAGTGGGGCCTTTGGAGATCATCCATTGAACCTTGCCCAAAGACACACAGCAAGCTAGTGACAGAGCCCAGTACCCAGGCCTCTGACTCTCTGTCCAGTGCTCTTTCCCCTGCACTCCATTCACCATGTCCCAGTATCTCCACCCCACCCCCAGCCCTCCCTAGACTCTTCAGCCATAGCCCCTCCCTCTGCTGGCTGTGCCTTTGGCTATGCTAGGCAAAGTCCAAGGTGTGGGGTCCAGGTGGAGCCAAGCCTCCCCCCTAGGGTCAACAGAAGCAAAGTCTGGCCTGAGCAAACAGCTCTTGATCAATAGCCCCCTTCAGCCAACCCAGCCCTGACCCAAGGGGACTCCAACCCTCCTGAGGGGAAAGCAAGACTTGCCCTCCCTCCTTACCAGAGGATCTGCCCCAGAAGAGACTCTCAAAGATGTCCTCCCAGCTGTCCCGCTGCAGCAGGGCAAAGTGCTCAAACACAGCCGACAGGGAGCTACCTTCACACTCCTCCCGACTGGGCTGCTGCTGGAACTGGTACTCCCAGTACTGTTTCCCTGAAGAGCAGGGTGGTGGGAATCATTGGGATGGGCCTGAACAAAGCTGGAGAGCCTGGAAGCTGTTGAATTTAGGAGCTCCCGGCTTGGGGCATGGGCACACGCTGAGGTCTGTCCCCAGTGATGCATAGAAGGAGACCCAGACTGCTCCACGTCCTCCCTATTCTCCCCCCACTCCCTGAGTACCCTTAAAGAAGTAGACCCGCTCCCGGCCACTGTAGCTATGAGCAGGCAGAGCCAGGGCTGCATCCACGTCGTCCGGGATGCCACTGAAGCCTTCAGAGATGTTTCGGGGGTAGTCAGGGTCTAGGACACCGTCCTCAAAGCGCCAGTACTGACTGCCCTAAAAAGTAGGGAAGACCAACAGGAGTATGAAGGCCATTGGCTGGGCACAAAAACAGAGTCTTCTGCCCCAAGGTGGCCATCCCCTGCCTGCTCCAGGTTTGCCACCCAGGACCTGGAGCCTCGGACTACCCTGTCCTCCCAGAGCCCCAGGCCTGGCACCTTGAAGAGGTAGGTCTTCCCCTGACAGTTGATGCGGGTGAAGGCAGCATCAATGGGGCCCTCGATGCCCCAGACGTCTCGGATGAGCTTGGGGTACCCAGGCCTCACTGCCTTTTCGTCTAGCTCATAGCAGTACTGTCCTAGAGTGGGGGAGGCTGTGTGAGGGAGGGGACGCTCCTGGGGCAGACCCCCACCCCCAGGACCAGTCCCTGGAGTCACCTCGGAAGGCAAAGAGGGAGCCATTCTTGAGGTCGGTGAAGGCATCAAAGGACTTCCCACTGCACAGCTCCTCTTCTGCTGGGGACTCGGAGGTCACCTGAACAGTGGTCTCAGGCCTTGAGTCTACTCGCTCAGGCTCTGAGGTGCTCATCTCAGGCTCTTGGGTACTCGCCTCAGGCATAGGGTCTTCTTCCTCAGGGTTCAAGTCAGGTGCCTGCTGAGGATTCCTTTCAGGCTGGGCTGACGTGTCAGGGATCGAGGGGCCCTCTGGCTGTTTGTGGACAGTGGCGTTGTTTTGGGTCTCCTCATAGTCACCAAACCCATACTCATCTTCTGGCAGAGTGAACACATCTCCACGAGTCACTGCGGACAGGGTGGATGGAAGTGAGTCTCCAACTGCAGAGGGGACCCCAGCCCCACCCACCTGGCCCCTGAACACACCTTGGGGCTTGCACTCGGCCATGTAGTCGGCGCAGCAGCTCTGGTAGTAAGAGCAGAGCTCATCACACTGACACTTCTTGTCAGCGTTGAAGCCCTCAGTGCAGCGGCCCTTGCATGATTCTATGAGGAAGGGGTGTCAGTTGGCACAACCAAGCCCAGGCCACCCTCACCCACCCTACCTTGACTCAAACAGCCATCCACACCCTCCCGCACCTTGGTCAGCCAGAACAGCCCATGCCAGCAGGACCAGCATGAGAAGAGGTCTCAGGGATGCCATGGTAGAGCCTCTAGCTGAGTGCCTGGCCAGCTTGGCTCTGAGCTCCCTGAGGTCTCTGCTCTGAAGCCTGCAGATGGGAGGGAGAGGCGGAGACAGGGAGGGAGGGAAGGCGGGGAACTAAAGAAGAGGAGCTGCCCTTCCTGCTGCTCTGTTTGCTCAGCCTCCAGCCCATCCCCCAGGTCCCCCACTGTTACAGTAAAGGGTCACATTCCTGGAACCCTGGGCCTGGGAAAAGGGGAAGATAGGACCCTTGCCAAACTCAGGGTCATCAGGTCATCAGAAGGGGGAAATAGCATGATTTGGAGGGCAGAAAGAAGGCTCACTGGACAACAGCTTTCTCTCTCTGAGTCTTAGTCTTCTTTTCAGTAAAGTGGGATTAATAAAACCTTGCCTCATGGAGGTATAAAGACCGATTACACAAACTAGAACAGAAAAAAAGTCCAGTAGCTGGAGTAGCCCCAAAAGCACTCTCCAAAAATGGTTACTGATCTGTGATTTGTTTGATCAGACACATCCCTGGCTGTTGCTCATCCACCCATTTTTTATTTAGGGCAGCAAAAAAGGATTGGGAGAAGAAATGGTAAGCACTCTGGGATATTGTCTTTTTTATCATAAAAGAACAAAGTTTCCCTTCTGGGTTCTTCGCTTGGATGTGTCAGTCTCCCCAAGCTGATCTTCTCAGACAGGAAACTGAGTGAATATTAACTCAATTGGACTGGATTTGATTTCTGAGGCCTTCCACTAATTCACCTAACCTGGGCAGGCCATACCCTGTCCCCACCCTCAGTCTCCCCATTTTTAGAGTGGGATTGCTCAGCACACTTTGAGATTCTCATGAAAATTATGATCCCTCTATCCAGAAAATGCCCGCTGGCACAAAAGAGACTGATTCTGTGCCCTATCTCAGGTGTCCGCAGACCTTCTGAAGTGCTCCTACCACCTGAAGGAAGTGCTCCTGAGTTTTCAGCTGACTTTTTTCTGTTCTGTAATCAGAGGGGAGGGTGACTTTGGCCAGTCTCTTCTCTAATGGGCGTCAGTCGCATGTAGAAGGAAGCACTGATTCCTACCCCATAGGGATGTTGGGAGGCTTAATGGAGAAACAGGCATAAAGCGCCGTAAGCGCTGTACAAGCGTTGTATTATGATTGTTTTAGCCACCAGTAGGGGAGAGGACACACTAGTGTTGTGCCCACGTACAAGCGTCACCCAGGGAAAAAGAGACTGTCCTCTCGCCCTCCACCCCCTTCCCCTCTATCCAGCACCGGGGACGGCGGAACGCAACGAGGGGAGGAGGCGTGGCCCGGGCGGGCGTGGTTGGGGCAGGCTTGGAGTGGGACTGCCCGGGCGGCGGGGGCGGAGCCCTTGGAAATTCAGGGGCGGGGCGTCGGCTCCAGAGAACAGCAGCTCAGGGGCGTGGCCGCTGCCGAGCATCTCATAGCCCTGCAGAGCCCGAGTCCAAGCGCGAGCCGCGCTTTGTTCCGGCCGCCGCCTCCTCTACCCTTCCACATCTGGGTCCACCCTCGCCTCTGCTCTCCCTACTTCCACCCACTCCCTGCATCTGGGTCTGCCGCCCCTAAACTTCTGGCCGGCGCCCTTGCCTGCTACCCTTCTCGCCATCCCTCCCTCCTGCATCTTCTTCCCCCTGGTCCCCTTTTGGGTCCGCCTTTTCCCAAGATCGCGGTCTCACCAGCCCCGCCCTCAGGCCAGGGATGTCCCCCGCAGCCCCGCGCCCATGGTCCTGACGCTGCTTCTCTCCGCCTACAAGCTGTGCCGCTTCTTCGCCATGTCGGGCCCACGGCCGGGCGCTGAACGACTGGCGGTGCCGGGGCCGAATGGGGGCGGTGGCGCGG